ATGAGTTCTCGATTAAAATACAGCATAGCAAATAACTTTTCAAACGAATAATGAGGGAAAAAAGAGGGTAAACAACTGTGTTTTGAAAAGATGTTCTTTTTTTTTTTTAATCCCTTGTTATTTATACACAATTTAAATAAATATTTCTTCGTGAGTTTACATCACCATTTTAATGCCATTTACGATAATTTTGTAAATTTTAACACCATTATATTTCTTGGGACTAACATTTTAAGAGGACTAAATTTTAGGGACCAAAATCATATGTTTGAAATTTGAGAGATCTAAATCAAAATAGATATAAATTTTAAGGACAAAAAAATTATATTAACCCATTTAATTTTTATATTAAAAATTCAAGGGAATAGTTTTTATCAACTCTTGATAAAGCTGTTCAAGTCGCACGTGAAGCAGGAATGCAACACGGCAACACCATCAACGCACAAGCTTCAAACTAGAATAAGAGCCTCTAAAACACAGATAAACACACGCGAGTGAGGCATTTGGTGATCTCTGAATCTGAAGAACTTGTTTCAAGAGAAAGCAAGCTTGCAAGTTCTGAAGGTGCTATTTTTGAGACCTTAGTTTGTTAGAGCTGTTTTCTTTGGAATTGAATCCTCTCCACTACCCTTCCCATCCTCTTCTCCTCCACCACCTTCCTTTTCTCTTCACAATCATTAGATCAAAACTCCAATGATTCAAATTTAATATTTTATAACATTTTATAAAAATAAATATTATGATAAAAAATAGATAAATAAATTTAAACTGTTAAAATATAATCTGAACAGTTCATAACTATAGACTATTATTATAGAACAAATTTTTTTAAATTTTTTTTATTACAATTGTAAACTGTTCAGACCAGATTTTAACAGTTTAAATTTTTTTTTTAATAATATTATTTTTATAAGATGTTAAATTTAGACCATTGGAATTTTGATCCAATGGTTATGAAGAGAAAAGAAGGGTAGTGGAAAGGAAGAGGATGGGAAGGTAGTTGAGAGAATCTAAGTCCGTTTTCTTTCGCCTCCCTCCACATCGATCCAGGTTCATTTCCTCTCTTTTACTTGCTTTATCCCATGGATCCATTGCTCCATCCATTGTATTGCAATCTTTTTTCCCAAAATTTTCATAGAAAAATTCTGCATTAGATTTGCTGTTTTCTTCTCCTTGTGCTGGCTGTTGATTGTATCAGTCTCCTCCATAACTACCTTACAGTCGTAGATCTAATAAAACTTCAACATTTGGAATTTTTTTTTTTTATACTTCTGGAAAACGAAGTCCCAAAACTTTCTAAGATATCGGTGGATTTTTTTTTTTTTTAACCTTGATCTATCGACCAGCATCTTCGTTTATTTTATTCAATTTTTGTAAATGAAGTATAAGGTTGATTTATTTATTACACATTAAAAAATTATTAAATTATTTATATTTATAATTTTTTAGTTAATTTATTTCACTTACAAATTATTATATAATTTAATAATATATTGAACTATTTTAGACATTATATAATATATATTATAACTAAGTAATTTAGTAATTTTTTTAAAAATTACTCAATCAATTTTTATGATAATATTATAAAAGCAAAGTGCTATTATGCGTAAAAAAGCATCGATATAAACCAACAGGGCATATTCTCTCTTTCTCTGTTTTTCCCCCCCCCATAATCCACTTACTTGATCCCACCGATCTTCGGTTTTACCAGTTTTTTCCTAGTATTTGTGTTAATCCTAGAAAACTTCATTATACTCCTTCGGTCCTAAATATAAGACCTATTTTGCAGTGTAATATAAGACCCATTTGTAGTGTAAATTACACTGCAAAATAGGTCTTATATTTAGGACCGAAGGGAGTACTAAATTATTAATTATTCGTTAAATTTGTTTGAAGAGGAGGACGTCTACAAAGCTCGAAGTTGACATTTTTGAGACCTTGAGATCTGAGCTGACATTTGGCAGGTTAATACTTGTTAGGATAGATTAAGCATTAGCACATGTTAGTTTCTGTAACAGATTCTATAAGTAATTACAGCTGTCATTTATGAGTTAATTGCAACTTAATCACCACTTGTATATTGACCAGTGAGCCTATACATACAGAGCAAGGGCCTCAATGTGTCTCAAGTCACTGAGCCTACATTGAGTTCATAATATCTTCTACATTCTTCACCAGACTATCCATTAATTCTTTTCTTTTTCTCTTCCACTTGCTTTATCCTATTAAAATATACTGTTTTGCAAGCATTTCCCTAAAATTTTCAGTGTTTTCTTCTCACGGGACAAATTCTGTAAATTTGTTAATGTCTTCTTTCTTTTAGTGTTGATAATCTCATCCCTAGCTACCTTACTTGTTGAAGGCTAAAGCTAGAAACTGCTATCAGAACCATTGCTTCAATGCTCCAAAAAGCTTTATTGATCGTATTGGGAGTATCAATTTCCAAAGCTATCAGACTCATATCTCATTCGCGTAATGGTAACCAACCAGTTGCTATTGATGCTAGGTAGCTAGCTTCTTCTAAATAACCTCACACTCTTTATTTTCTTGTTTGATTTGCTCTTACATATAATTTCTTCACGGTTTATTTCCATTTGTAGTCTGAAGATGATGTTATTTTGACTCAAACGGATTCTCCTCCTGCTACCAATTATAATGTGTTCCTTAGCTTTAGAGGAGAAGACACTCGCCACAATTTTGCAAGTTATCTTTAGAAAGGACTTCGAGATGCAAGCATTCACACTTTTATGGATCATGAACTTTGCAAAGGAGAATTGATCTCACCAATTCTTCTAAGAACAATAGAGGAATCAGAAATATCTGTTATTATTTTCTTTGAGAATTATGCTTCTTCAACTTGGTGTCTAGATGAGCTTGTTCACATATTAGAATGCAAGCATAAATTTGGAAGGCTTGTGATACCTGTTTTCTATAACATAGATCCTTCAAGCATACGCAAACAAAATGGGAATTTTGGAAAAGGATTTGATGTATTGAAGCAAAGATTTAAAGACAACCCAGAAGAATTGCAAAAGTGGAGAAATGCTTTAATCCAATCTACAAATCTCTCTGGATGGGATTCCCATAGTACCAGGTAGCTTCAAAAATGTTCCTTTTGTTGTTGGTATTAGGGGTGAGCAAAACCAAACCGTAACTGAAAACCGAACAGAACCGAATTCAATTTCCATTTTTCCGTTCGGTTATTTCGGTTTTCGGTTATATATTCGGTTTTTATTTTTTAAATAATTCGGTTTTGGTGTTCGGTTTAGTTAGTAGGAAAAAAAATTTCGGTTATAACCGAATAACGGAAATAAATATATCATATATTTATATTTAATAAATATTATTATAATAAATATATATGTGGGTATATGTGAACTTTTTAAATATATTTATATTCAATAAATATGGTTATAATAAATATTATTATAATAAATCACATTGAATCATGAAATATTTATTAATGGGTTAAGGTGCGCTCAGCACCCCAAACTATTTTCCCAGGTGCACCCAGTGTCCTAAAGTAATTTTCGGTGCATCCAGTGTCCCAAACTAATTAAAACGGTGCATCCAGTGTCCCAAACTAATTAAAACGGTGCATCCATATCCCGGACTAACAGAAAAGTTAAGTTTGACCGTTATTTGCTGACTCAGCAGAAGGTTGACTGACGTGGCGGACACGTAGGCATCTGATGTGTATAATTTTGACGGGCCAAGGTGTGTCTAGCACCCCGAACTATTTTTTTAGGTGCGCCCAGCACCCCAAACTATTTTTCCAGGTGCGCCCAGTGCCCTAAAGTAATTTTTTATGTATCCAGTGTCCCAAACTAATTAAAACGGTGTGTCCACATTCCAGGCTAACAGAAAAGTCTCGTTTGACCGTTACCTTACTAACTCAGCTGAAGATTGACTGAAAAATCCTATATGGCGAACACACAGGCATCTAATGTGTATTATTTTGACTGAAAATTCAATTTATTTCCTCCTCTTCTAACATTTATCTTCTGCCAGTTTTAAAACTTAAAAAAAGAAAGACCACCGATCCACCCTCTTAAGTCTTGGTAGATGTACCACCCATTCAATCCCATCCTTGTCTTTAAGATTTTATCCCCTTTCTTCCACCACACACTTCCATCTCCGTCTCTATCAACTCCTCATTCGACTCGCGTTTGTTTTCCTCCTCCTAGAACACAGTGAACTTTTCCCTGGTCACTTCGTTGACATCGTCGTCGCCATCCGAAAAAACACCCGTTGCTACCAGGCTCGTCTTGGGAGCTTTAGTCAAAATAATATACATCAGACATCTGTGTGTCCGCCATGTAGGATTTTCTTGTCAATCTTCAGTTGAGTCAGTAAGGTAATGGTCAAACGAGACTTTTCTGTTAGCCTGGGATGTGGACGTACTGTTTTAATTAGTTTAGGAGACTGGATACATAAAAAAAATTACTTTAGGACACTGGGCGCACCTGGAAAAATAGTTCGGGGTGCTGGGCGTACCTAAAAAAATAGTTCGAGGTGCTGGGCGCACCTTGGCCCGTCAAAATAATACACATCAGATGCCTACGTGTCCACCACGTCAGTCAACCTTCTGCTGAGTCAGCAAATAACGGTCAAACTCAACTTTTCTGTTAGTCCGGGATATGGATGCACCGTTTTAATTAGTTTGGGACACTGGATGCACCGAAAATTACTTTAGGACACTGGGTGCACCTGGGAAAATAGTTCGGGGTGCTGGGCGCACCTTAACCCTTTATTAATTAATAGTTGTAATTGTGTTTTATTATTTTTTAATTTAAAATTATTTTTCATATTTATATATTTCGGTTAATTGGTTAATTGAACCGAAATTTTTGATTAATTCGGTTTCGGTTAGTTCGGTTAATCGGTTTCAGTTTGGTATTTAAAATTTACTCTATTCGGTTATTCAGTTAATTCAGTTATCACCGATAACCAAACTGAAAAACCGAATACTCACCCTTAGTTGGTATTGGGGATCTATGCGTTTTCTTTTGATTGACATATATGCCAGGCCTGAATTCAAACTTATTGAAGAGATTGTCAAGGATGTTTTGAGGAAGTTGAACTATGCATCATCATCTCATCTTGAAGGACTCATTGGCATTGCTCGACATGTTAAAAACATTCAGAGGCTTCTAATTGAGGCCCGTATTGTGGGAATATGGGGTATGGGCGGTGCTGGTAAGACCACACTTGCTAAAGCTATATTTCAGGAGTTGAAAGCTCAATTTGATGCTTTCTCCTTTATTGAAAATGTCAAAAAGCAATTAAAAAGAATTAGTTTGGATGAGCTGCAGAAGAATTGCCTTAAAGAATTATTAAAAGATGAGGATATTAGCATCTATGAAATAAAATCCACTTTTGTGAAAAATAGGCTTCAAAGAAAAAAAATTCTTCTTATACTTGATGATGTGGACAATTCAATAGTAGCGGCAGATTTAACCAGGGTACTTGATTGGTTTGGAGAAGGAAGTAGAATTATTATCACATCAAGGGACATGCAAGTGCTAAAGAATGCTTCTGCGACATTTTCAAAATATCACGTTTCGGATTTGGATTTTGAAGATGCTTTTCATCTCTTCAATTTGAAAGCATTCAAGCGAGATGAGCCATCTAAAGGTTACATGGAGTTATCAAAATCTGTAGTGAAATATTGTCACGGAAACCCATTAGCCCTAGTAGTGCTGGGTTGCTTCCTTTATGGCAGACAAAAAGAAGAGTGGGAAAGTGCTTTGGAAAAACTAAGTCAAGCTCCACCCAAGGACATTGTTGATGTTCTGAAGTTGAGTTTTGATGGACTTGATGACAAACAGCAAAATGTGTTCCTTGACCTGGCATTCTTAATCAAGCAAGGAGTTCATATTTCTTTGAACCTATTGAGACAATTATATTGTTCTTCTATGCATATTGAGATAAGTGTTCTAAGAGAAAAGTCCCTCATTTCATTTAATGATCATAATGATTTCATTGAGATGCATGATCTTCTGAGGGAAATGGGCCTTGAAATTTCAAGCCAACAATTATTCTCTGGTCGTAAAACACATGTTCGACTATGGAGGCATGAGGACATTTATCACTTTTTCCACAATGACCAGGTAATAGTTTATGTTTTAGTTATATTCTTTATTTTCTTAGTAGTTAATATTTCCTTTCCTTGCGATGTACTCTTCCAGTCCTTAATATATGACCCAATTCTTAAATTAATTTTGGTCCTAAATATAAGACAAATTTCTCATATTTATCAATTTTTTCTAAATTACCTCTATGGATACTTCCTCAACCATAATCAAGTAGAAGAGGAAGAGAAGGTATTAAGAAAGATAATTATGGTGTTTTAGGAAAAATATGTCACTTTTCTTATAATTAACTAACTTACTTAACTTCTTTAATCTAATTAAATTAATTAAATGGGTCATATATTAAGGATCGAAGGAGTATTTTTTTTAAAGTTATTTGTTTATGCATTAAATTCTTTGATAAGTTTCAATATCTGCCCAAATAGACCTTTTTTTTTAAAAAAAAAAACTTCTTTCTTTGACTAAAATTCGTTGGAGCAAAGCAAAGTCTTTTTATTAGGTGTGATTTTTTAAACTTAAAATTTTATTTTTATATTTAAAAATTAAAAAAAATTTCAAAATATATTGGGTCTTATATTAAATATATTCACTATGCTAGATGTTATATTGAATTTGGTCATAAAAATATATTATTGAATTTGGTCCTAAATATATTAGGTGTAATTTTAAGCTTAAACTTTTAAACTTTCTATTAGTTCTGACATAGAATATGATTAGGATGATGTAAGACGTATTTTTAAATTTAGAGCGTGAACGATCCTTGATCAATTATAAAATTATCCATGAAAATTGACATTTTTTATATTAATTGATAGCAGTAGCAAAAATTGATGTTGTATGGAAGTGACTGCGCGCACCGCACATGCATGCTCACGCGTTTTCTTGATAAAAATTTAGTAATATTGCAAAAAGGTACAAATTATGAAATTTAAACATATTTTTTTTAAAAGAATTTTATATATACCGGCCGGTTTCATATACTCTAGTTCTAAGAATTTAAGCATGTTTGTATGGTTGTCCCCGCGAGCCTGTGTGCATTTGTTTTGTCCAATTTATTTATTGTAAGATAAAATGAGTTGTTTGAATAAAGTGCACAAAGATATATTCATTTAGAAATTCCTAAAAGAAGTTATAAAAAAAAAGGAATTTCTAAAAGAAATATATTTAATTGTTCTATTTATTATTTGATCACCTTTTACATATTACCCATTTTTTCCCCCATAATCTCATCAGTAGGCGACTGAGGCAATTCAATGCTCATCATTAGACATGAAGAAGATAAACAGGATTGCAATAACAATTAGTAATATTCAGAAGAATTATAATTTAAAATTAGCTGGGTCTTTCCTGATGCGTTGTTTTAAAAGATAAAATTAGTGTATAAAAAATTTTATAAAAAATTTTCATTAAGTGATATATGCATACGCTTTTGTGAGCATAATTTACCATTATTTGAAGTACAATGGGAAAATAAAAATAACAATTTTTTGCTTTTATAGTTATATTCTAAATATCTGCACATGCATAGGTATATGCATCAGCGTGTTTGCATATTTATGATTCTTGTGAAATTCATATATTACGGGGAAAACATGAATTGTAACGAATTTTGAATGAAATGGATATAGTAGTGTTAATTTGGATAAAAGTTGATATATTTAATTGTTCTATGGTATTTATGGTCATTTTTTTAGGTAATGATAATTGTGTTTCCCTTGATTTGATATTTATGACCAGGCGATTGAGGCAATTCGATGCATGTCCTTGGATGCAAGCAAGATAGAAAGCATTACATTGATGGCTAGTCATTTTCGAAGAATGCATTATTTAATGTCCCTTCAAGTTTACAAGTCAGATCGGGGAAAGCCTTCAAAGTTGAATATTTGTGAACCGTTGGATTATCTTTCTAAAGAATTAAGGTTTCTTAGTTGGGAAGAATATCCATTGCCATTTGTGCCATTACAATTTTGTGCTGAGAATCTCATTAGACTTAATTTGCTTGACAGTAATATCCAACAGCTTTGGGATCAGGTACGTATAGTTTCTCATATGTCATAATTTTTTGTTGTTGTGATTCTAAGAAACATTGACTAAAGTAATTCACAACGCAAATGTTTGCTTATTACTATCTTTAAATTGATGCTAGTAGTAATTGTACTATCTACGGGGAGTCCAACTGTTCTTGTAATGGGCATGAGAAAAATTGTTGAGTAAATTGTACGTGCGCGTAGTTATGTAATTTATTTAACACTACTGCTTGTTTTTTCCCCCAGCAATTTCCAAATCTAAAGAAAATAGATCTACAGTATTCGAAAAATCTCAGGGTACTCCCAGATTTGTCTCAAGCCCCTAAGATTGAACGTGTGAATCTTTTTGATTGCGTGAATTTGGGTCAAATCCATTCTTCAACTATCCCAAAACAGAATGTCGGTTTATGGATAGATGATTGTGGACCGAAGCTGATAAATGTCGGGGCTAGTATGAAAGGGAGAGGTTCATTAAGGTTAGTGATTATGCACAATTATTTGGATCTTATCGATTTGACATTCAATAAAATGACAATAAAGGTGATGGAGTGCGGCGAGATGATGTGTGGCGTTGGATTTAACCACATGACAATGCCATTGAAAGAGACGACAGAATTCATGAGAATGCAAGTACAAAGTTTGGCGACTTTACTTCCATTTGTGAGGACAGTTGAATGGTTAGAGGGTCCAATTGAGTTTGGGCATGATTTCAACCAATATCATACCTATGATGTTCATCATTATTAGAGCGAAGATGTCTACTTTGATATTATTGTGAGGGTGATGGGTAATAGAGGCAAAAGGGGTGTGCAAGATGATGAAGAAGACGATGAGGATGATAGAGAAATGATTAGTGAGAATGAAAGAGAAATGAGTAGTAAAGGTAATCAAGTAGTAGAAATGACATTATTATTGATGGAAGATGAACAAGAAGAGGCAGATGAGGATGATAGTAGGATGGACGATACATTATTAACAATACTACTTATTCCCAACACCATCCCTCGCTAGTCACTATTGATTCGACTGACATTAAAAGAGGGTGATAGTATTGGGAATAATAATGCAGGTTGCAGTAGCATCCCTCAAGTTTCAATATTCCTCAAATCGCTTGATGAAGACTGCAAAACGAGGATTCAGCCTCTCTTAGGAGTACAACTCTCTTACCCATTATTCCCTTTACCTTGTCATTCTTTCACGGTCTATTATAACTATGTGGAGAGGACGCTACAACGTCCTGGTTTTCTTTTTTAAAACAGTGAATATTATGGTCATGACTTAGTTGTTCGCTTTATGAAGTACTTCTGTTGATATTAATTATCATTTAAGGTTTTCAGGTCATAAAATTATCAGTCTCATTTATTTTTTTTATTACATATTAATATAATTTTTTTATGAAATATTAATTTTTCTGTTTTTTTAAATATGTAATTCATGTATGAAGGGCCTCCTCACAACTTTATAACATAAAAATTGTCAATCTTATTTTGGCTTCACAATAACTGCACCAGTTGTGTGTGTTACTCTCCATGTGATGTGAGTATAATAACTAGCATGACAAACTATTTCCTTACTAAGCAATTTTATTATAAGAAAGTAGAATGATTACTTATGAATTAGCTCAACTTGTAAATGTTAAAATGTAATAATATTTAAATTGTAAACTACATTAAAATAAAAGATATTTGTTTGATCGGCCACCTTCGATCATTCCAAGTTGATCAACGTGGTTAATTGGCATTGTCGTCATTTTCACTTTTTTTCCAAAAAAAAAAAAATCTATTTATACTTGGTTTTCTCACTTCAGATCTAGTAGTAATTTTCCCTTCATATTATGCGATATCAATGATATATATATTTTTTGAATTGTGATTTATCGGGCGCTTCCTCACAACTTCAGAAAACACTCGAGGAATTATTAATCTTAATGTTTCTTTTCAATAATTGTTCTATCGTTCGTTACTTTCTGCGTGTGTACATTATATACCTTATTTAAAAATAAGTGGAAAATAATTTTCTATGCAAAGCAATTTCCTTGGCATTGTTCATTATTTACCATGCATAGAGTATCCTCTAACTTGTACTTCAAAAACATGTATAGCCTGCTTGCATAAGATATATTTTACCAAATTAAACTATAACAGGAAGTATTACCATACATCATATTTTATTACAATAAGTTGTTCACTTCATGAAACGTCATTATTTTTTACAGCAAAAACCACATGTCTTTATTCATTAACTTTGTCTGGTTGAATGATAATGGGAGAGTGAAAAATTTAATAAGCTTGATTTTTTATGAAAATAAAGTAGGGTTGAAAGATTTTAATTAATTTTTCTTATCTCTAACTCTTATAACTTTTTTCTGTTAATGGAGGTACAATGATACCTATCATTTTTCGACAATGACAAGGTAATAGTTTTTTTTTAAAAAATTATTCTATATTTTATGCTCTTAATAATATTTATTTATTTGTTAAAATTTTTAGTTAATCTCAATATTTAACTTGAAGTTCCTCTGTTTTATTTGTTTGCATGTCAAAATTTTTTTAGTTAGACTCGACCATTTAAAAAAAAAATCCTTTCTTTAAATATGACTAAAAAATTGTTTGAGGCATGCATTTATCTTAGGCGTGATTTATTAATCAACTTTGAAATAGTTATTAAGTTTTGGAAATGTGGTACAAGTAGCTCTAAGACTAGCAGTTGATTGACAAGAGTTCCTGTTTACATTGATTTTATTTACAGGGTTGATCAATCTTTCCAAGTTCGTGACACAGGTAATAACACCTATCTTTTCACTAAATTACTGAATTTATCCTATTTACATATATATATTTAATCACAAAAGGTATAACATATATGCTTAGTCCTTTAAATCTGCATCAGATTTTAGTTTAATCTTAAATTTAAGATGTTAAAATTAAGAAACTAATTAAAAGTATGCTTTAAAAACTTAAGAAATTAAAATGAAATTTGATGTCAACTTAAAGTATCAAGCATGTAAAAAAAAGGGGGAAAATAATCACTTGTTATTAATGTGTGCATCTAAAATAAGATTTATCTATGTCACTGCATCATCTCACATAATGCAATTGCTATTCAATATGAACGTAATGGATAACTATGCCTGAGTTGGATAGATTGCTCATGGAAATATATGATGTCCACGAAAGATAAATATATTAAGAACATAGAAGATTTGAAACCAAAACCTTCTGTAAACTAACAATCCTCACTACTATACTAAATTTTTGTCATTTAAAGGGAAAAATAAAATTCCTCAATAAACAATATAATGTTGGCTAAATAAGTACAAATATATTATGACAAGTTACTACACAACACTTGATGTCATTATTTGTTTTCCAAGCGCATGATTATGCTATCCTAGTAGATAATTTCTGTGACTTTAACCCAAACTAATCTCCGAAAAGTTTAGGAACCATAGGTGGAAGATTCATGGACTCAGGAGCCATGAAGTTTACGACATTTTCATGAACATTATACTTTTAATGCCACATTACACAATATAAACAGTAAATTAGTCAAAAATCTCTTTTCAGTTCTAGAGAATATAGCAATATATATATATATGTATATACATGTGACAAAAAGTAATGAAACAAAACAAGAAAATGCCATCTTCATCAACTAACCTTATCTTGCGACTTTTTGAGGCCTGATGATCAACAAGTTTCCTTTTCTTGGTTGCATCTTCTTCAAAGCATAAAGCGCGTTCTCCGTATGATTCACAATAGCGGAAAATAAGGACATGACTTCTGCTTGCATGGCATAAGGTTTACACTATGATTTATAGGAAAGCAGCTCATGCTAATTCTAGGCTCAAAAGATTTGATCAAAACTATTTAGATGGAAAAAATTAATAAATCACTACTAATTCTACAATCTTTCTAGGAAACCTTTCATGCTAAATATCAAGTGTAATTTGCTCATAATTGCCCAAATACATCATAAGTTAAACAAAAGAGCATGTCCTAACCAGTCCAATATTCCAACGACATCATCAGAAGTAAAAATACAATATTTAAAAAATGCCTATTCAGTCAAAAACAAGACAATTATTGCTTACCGAATGATGTAGAATCGACTGTCTCAAAAAACTTTTTTAGTAATTGCTGATAAAATTCAGAGTCATCTAGAAGTTTGAGATCACCATCAATATGAGTTTCCTGAACAAATTCGAATTCATAACCGTCATGTTGGAAATAAATATTTCTCTATGTTGCTAAGCACAAACAAACAGAATAGGTAAAAATGATATTGAAATAATAATTGATAACAAAATGCCAAGTATTGAGAGTATGAAGACTTAAAAATCCATGATCGAAACACTTGAATGGCTTCCTTTAAAAATATCACATACTAAATACCAAAATGACTTGCTTTTGTCTACACGATTCAACATAGAGAAAAACATAAAGGTTTTGTTTTAACTCAATTAGCAAAATCATCAATGAGTGTGGTTTGCTCTGTTTCTTGGCCATATCAAAGCCCATAATTATGTGACAAAAAAAAACTTTTTGTCAAAAAGATACATTTTCAAAGAACACTATTAAAGCACCAAAGCAAATAATCATTCCCAATACCTTAAGAGCTCTCAAAGAAGAAAGAGATGTTGGTAAATAATGCTCCCTCTGTTTTGTGCAAATCCTTTTAACTTCTTTACACACAAAAAAAAAACAAAAAAGAAAATTTGCTACAATTCTATCTCTACTTCTTTCTTTTGAAGTGATTTTTGTGTGTGCGGTTTTTTTTTTTGTTTTTTGGGGTGTTGCATGGCAATAGTAGTTTGTAACAGAAGAATTATAACTCTATTAACATGTTAAAACAGAGCAAAAATGAGAGAAACAATATAAGAATTCCACATGTTCTCATTCTAAGATGTGAAATACGAAATTACTACAATTATATAAAAGCTATTTTAGAAAAATTTACATATTGATTGCATATATTAAGAATATTTTTTCACAAATAATTATCTGAAATAATTTTTTTAATCTCTTAAAATTAAAATTAGATATGTGGTCCTTACATTTAATACGGGACAGAGAATAAGAAGGTTGGGATATTACAATAAAAATTGGAAGGGGTGGGATATTAGAGCCTCCAAAATATGCATTCATATAATCTTCAGACAGTACAGTGCGCATAAAGAACATAACGCTATGTCGGCTATAAGAAAAAAAAGCTTGGAAATTTCTTTGTAAACGAAATAATAAAAAAATTAAAGCACCAAAACCATTAAAACAACTTTAACACGCGTACTTTTATGGGAAAATTGCAAATAAAGACCCCCCAATATATAAAATGGCAATCAGGGACCTCCAATTTGAGAAATTGCTGCAGAGGACCCGGTCCCAATTTGCAATTATGAAATGTAAGGAAAATGGCTGAAATGCCCCTCACTCATCATGACTGTTAATGAAGGCAGAGACCAGGATTTGGGTGGCGGGAGAGCTGGTGGAGTAGGATGAGCCGAACGAATATGTGCGATATTGGGATCTTCGAACATTGGCAATAATGCGACTAACTTACTGAGTAAACCCTTCTTGTATTGTTCCCTGTAAGAGTTACACATCGTCACATTCTCCATCTTCATCTCTGCTGTGTGGGTGAGTAGGCTGGAGGAAGGGAGGGAATGGGAGGTGTAGTTGAAGATGAAAGATATGACAATGTAGGAGGTTGTGGTTAGTTGGAGGTGGGATATTTTTGTTTTCGTAGTCTGAACGGTCATCTGTCATTTGTAGTGCACGGTGCTGGTTGCGATGGGGAAGGGGTCAGAGTGTAGTGGTTTGGCAGAGTGTAGGTTGGATAATGGCCGTTAGTTTGACCGTGAACGTTGAGGTGTTGCCGCGGAATGAGGGAATGACGATACCATGATTTTCGGTGTTGAAGTCGTCAAGCCCTAAAGTGAAGTTGTGAAGCCCTAAAGTGAAGTTGTGAAGGCCTAAAGTGATGTTGGGAAGACAGGAGGTCACGGGTTTTTA